GGCATTTAATTGTGAAAATGGCCAATCCGCGTTGGGCAGCAGCTTGCTAAATGCAGATGAGCATCCAGCCTGTGTGTGTGTGTGTGTGTGTGTGTGTGAGAGAGAGAGAGAGAGAGAGAGAGAGAGAGAGGGAGAGGGAGAGAGAGGGAGAGAGAGGGAGAGAGAGAGATTGATTGATTCCAGCTGAATTTTTGGTGTGTTCTTTCTGGAGTGGATTTAAAGACACCCGCTGCGTTCATTCCCTTTTCCTCTTCTTGCTAGACTAATTTATTTTGGGGTGGGTTTGTTTAAAACCAGCCACGCTTTCTTTTATTTTTTTCCCTCCTTCGCAGCTGCTGTTTTCTCTCTTTCCTCCAGATACTCCCCAAAAGAAAACCGTCTTTTTATACCTCGTATCCGTTCTTTTGCGGGCCAACACAATGCTCCCGGGTGTAATAGGGCTTTAGCGCCAGATATGCAGGCATTTTTTCCTCCCAATTCTTAAGCCAGCAAAGGACGAAGCAACCTCTAATAATTGAAACTGGGCAGTTGAGTTAAGAAGCAGCAAATCTGGAGAGCAAATTTTGAGCTCTTTAGAGGAATTCTGCATAAGGAGGTATCGGTTTTCTTAAGCAGAGAAAGATAGAAATACGAAGGGAAAAATTAGTTCGAATAACGCCCTGAAAAATCTTTTGTCCAGGCACACAGGTAGCTTCTCCCCAACTTACTTGGTGACGGGCACTGAAAAAATGCGACTTATGACCATTTTGCACACTTATAACCATTGCAACATCCCCATAGCCGCAAGTTCAAGAATTCAGATGCTTGGCAACTGACTCATAGTTATGACGGTGGCCATGTCCTGTGTGTGTGTGTATGTGTGTATCACACAACCCCCTATTATGACCTTCTCACAAGTCAGGTCAATAGAGAAGGCAGATTCACTTAACAACCAGCTTACTAACTTAACAATTCACATAACGACCGTGGCAAGAAATGGGGCCAAAGTCATTTAGCCGTTGTCTCACTTAGTAACCGAAATTGGAGGCTCGGGGGTGTTCGTAAGAGGAGGACGGACTGTATTTTTAATGCACATTTTTGCTAGGCTGAATGTTTCTGGATATTTGTTATTATTTGCCAGGCTAAAGTCTCTGCCAACATCTATTTCACAGCAGAGCTGAGTTTTCCTCCTTTGTTTTCTTTTTTTAAGTTCCTTACCTCGATACGGCGCCTGAACCTTCCTTATCCAGCTGCTTGCAACCTTGGCCTTTCCAGAACGGGACTTCCTGCGAGGAAATTCCCAATTATTTGGAGCAGCTGGTAGATTCCTGCCTTCAAGCCGAGCCACCTCTGGAGGTACCCTTGGCCCTGGCACAGGACAGCCTGCCATGCACACCTGAGAACTTCCAGCCAGCCCTCACCTGCCTGGTACGTGAGTTTCTGTATCTACAGAATTGGAGGGGGAGGTTCCCAAATTGATATCGTCCGGAGAAAGGACTTGCTTAGGTGCAAGGGAAGGGTGGCAGGTGGGTAAAGGTATTGTAGGAAGTTAAAAACCCACCCCTCTCTTAGAAAAATGAAATATCCTGGGAAATATTGAAAAGGCAGAATATTATGTTTCCCTGGATCAGGGAAATGGAGAAACATGTTTTTAGGCAGGAAGCAGGCTCAATCTTAATAACTCCCACCTTTGTCAATGAGCCATTAAAAGGCCTGAGCCAGTCTGTTCTACATAACAAAGACCTCCCCACTTCAGCTCCAGGGTGATGGGATTAAGGCCTGATAGTATGAGCCCTTTACCCATCTCACCACAGGGCACCTGGGAAGAAACGAGGCTCAACCAAACTTGGTACACAGATGGCTTACTCTCTGGA